TTTTATTATTATTATTATTGTTATTAATATTATTATCTTAATTATTATTTTTGTTATTATTATTAATCTACTAATATTTAACAAAAAACCTTGAGCTCTACCCTCCCCCCCTTCCCCCTCCCAAAAGCAGTACTCAGTACATGTGATTAAAGCTTATTTGTCAACATTTGGCTTAAAGAAATAACATTTACATAAATTGTCCATTATTTTTCTATATATATAACATTAATGATATTATGTAATACTCTTATTCTCTTGATTTAGATTTGTTCATTTTCCCTCTGCATTTTTTCTTTTTAAAATTCTAAGATCTATTTTTGATAAATTTAAAAAATCACGATAATACGTCAAAGTCGAAAACAAGAATTTTAAATTTTTCAATCTTAAATATAAATTTTTAATAATGTTAGACATGAAATAAAAATGTGTCCAACCAAAGATCCAAGGTAACAATAAACAATTTCGCTTACATTCCCTTTCATATAAATTTGGTAAAAAGTATAAAATGTTTTAGAAATTTTGATTTTCATCGTTTTTCGTTATTCGCAGAGTTTACTGTTTATCTTTAAAGGATTTCCAAAAAATAATTAGAAGGTTCTCCTAGGAAAACACGACTGGCCTTATTCCTTCCCTAGGGTCATGTGAAACGGGTCAAGAGAGTTGGGCCCTACAGCCATTTTGACGTTTTTGGATACAAATCAACAACCAAACATATCATTACATATATTGCTTCGTAACCAGCTTGATGAATTTCACTGATTAATATGAATATTGCAGAAAGCTGGATTGAAAAATGAAGTACATCAGCATATATTAAAAGGTTGCGTACGTCATGTGCAGTACTTCCCTGGATAAATTAGACTAGATTACTCATGTCGTCTTAACCATCTCATGGGTTCTACAGAGAGTTCCATATCATATTGGATTATCTCGAAGGTTTAACGTCAAAAATACGCACACAATACTCGAAAAACCTAGTATTTTCACAAAGCAATATTTTGATGATTCATACCTTTTAAATTTTCTGATACCCGAAAATTGCAATTTCAAGCTATAAACGATCTAATATGATGTTCTCACTCGCATTAGTAATATATTCTAACCTAGGAGTACTGCATCTAGCTGTAGAGTATATATATAAGTGCAGGGTTTCCCACAACAAAGAAAGGTTTCCCATATAATGAAAGGGAGTTATGTGAAGTGACCTTTCATTTGAAAAGAGGCATGTCCCATTTACAACAATACCCTTTGAACCTTTGACTGATCAAAATGACGAACTTATCCTTATTCATCTACACAAACGGTTGTAACTATTGATAACATTTAATATTTAATGATTATTTGTATTTACTTTCTAGAAGTTTTTGGAAACCATGAAGTGTTCCGGTTTCTCAAAAAATACGTAATGTCAGCTTCGTTGAGTTAACACTCTGCAGTTTTCGGATATTTCGAACACCTTTTTTGAGATAACCTCATTGATTGATCAATATGCCTTTATTGTTTTAAGGGTACTGTTGTAAATCAGCCTCTCTGTAAACTGAGTATTATAACTTGAAATAACAATGTAAGATATAATGGGGTCTACCACTGTAGATAGATTGATACATTACCTGATTAACTGTACCAGGGACCCTGGCTTCTTCTAGTTCTATTGTATACTCTGCTACTCCTAGTGGGTTCTCTGCTCTGCATACATACTCCCTGAACAGGTTAGGTTATCTATACATATAAAACTGTATCAAGTCCTGATCAAGGTATAGCCAATTGGAGCAGGGGATTTATCAGATGGATTTCCATTTAGACGGAATATCCACCAATAGGAGGGACAGAATATCCACCAATAGGAAGGACGGAATATTTACCAATAGGAGAGACGGAATATCCACCAATAGGAGGGACGGAATATCCACCAATGGAGGGACGGAATATCCACCAATATTAGGGACAGAATATCCACCAATATTAGGGACAGAATATCCACAAATAGGAGAACTAAGGGAATATCGTATATTAATCAATGGGTCCAGATGTCTTCATTATTTTAAAAGGACCCAAAATTTATCTTTTTTATGTAATAGTAACAAAAAATCTGGAAACTCATTTGCCCACCCCCCCCCCCCTAGAAAATTTACCAAAAAAGAGTTGGAAAGCACGGGGATAGATAAGTCCCCCCCCCTTTTTACTGATAAAGAACTCCCCGTATAAGTTACAAGTGCAAAAGTTGTAAATTATATTAGGTTTCCAATTAGTACTTGGAACAACTTACACCAGATTATTTTACGGATGGATGTTTTAATAAAAAATATTCTAAAATGAGTTATATGTTAAACTAACATAGTTAAAGAACAAAAAATGCAATCTCAAAAAAAAATTTTAAATCCAAAATTTCAGTTGAAACTTTTTATATTTTTGATCGAGGACATTAAAGTAGCTCAACACTTCTCACAAACTTATAGTTTCATACTTTGTGGGTAACCAATGAAATGAATTTAACTTATAAGAATTGGATATATTTTCACTTTTATCCCAGGACGAATTTAAGATAATCTCTTAAGTTTTATATTGATTTCTACTTTTCAAACCTTTCAATCTCAATTCTTGGTCAGTTCACTGATCCATGAAAACCTCTCAAAGCAATTTCTCTAGTTTTTAGCAGATTTTCTCGGATTTTCACCCAGATGTTTTAACATAAATTAAAAATGAATATAATTTCTCATCATGATGCAAAAGAAAATATTTTTTAAAAGTTTAGCGAGTCTGCCTGAAAGGATGAGATATAAATGGCGACTTTAAACCTTCTTACTATTATTCGACAAATGAAGATGATTTAAACCATAAATTGGAATAATAAGATAGCAAATCTTACATTTTAGTTCGGTTGAACTACACAGCTAGGGTTAATCACAAAATGTAAAATTTCTTATTGATGCTTGTTGTAACATCTTGCCAGCCAGTAAATAAAAAGCTTTTGTTCTTAAAAATATTTTATAATATTCAGTTTGTTTTATATATAACTAAAAAGGAAAACTACCTGAAGTATTTATTTGAAAGAGGAATTATGTTCAAGGAGGATTGCGGGCCACGTCCTAAAGAAATGAAATTAAAAGAGACTGTAAAAATATTTAAAGTGACAATCCATTTCAGCGTTAAATGCCTAATTCGGCTCGGTACCCTTCAAACTTTTATCTACAATTAAACCCTCGATAAGGAATACATCGAAAGAATTTATCAAATGTCGTATTCTTCACTTTCTGATAATGGAAGGTTGCAGATATTTAGTTTCTTAATTAAATGATTATATAGCTCTATAGAACTGTTCCCGTTTATTCATTGCTATTTATGTATACTGAGATTTACGTAAAATAGTAAAAAAAACATTGAAAAATTGTAAAAACGACATTTCAAAAATTCTTTCGATGTAATTAATATTTAGGGGTTATACTGTATGTAATAATATTTGAAAGACAAGATTTTATCTTGTAAAACGCTCAATTCTGTTAAATGTCTTACTATTCTCTGCGGAACCGCAATGGGATCTTTTTAATTGAAAAACAATGATATATCTACCTTTTGTTTTAAAAAAAGGTTCAAAAATATGGTTAATTAAAATTATGCTGATATTGCCCTTCAAAATCAAAATAGTCTAAACTTAAAACAGAAAATGAAAAGAAATATTTAAATGTCAGACCTGAATAGAATTAAACATTGTTCAAATTGTAAAGAGTAAATTTTTATTGAAATTTCTTTTTTCTCTTTTTCCATTTGAATATAAAATATAAAATATAATGTAAATTTTAATAGAAAATATAAAGTAAAGAGTAAAATTTGAATATAAAATATAAAGTAAAGAGTAAAATTTGAATATAAAATATAAAGTAAAGAGTAAAATCTGAATATCAAATATAAAGTAAAGAGTAAAATTTGAATATAAAATATAAAGTAAAGAGTAAAATTAAAATATAAAATATAAAGTTAAGAGTAAAATCTGAATATTAAATATAAAGTAAAGAGTGAAATGTTGCATATGATCATATTTGATTAACTTATTTAGGGGAAAATTAATGAATTTCAGGATACAAGAAATGCATCGAAATTTAATTTAAATATCTAAAAATCTGATATCAGTGTAAAAGGATAAAATATTTGAATTGATTTTACATTTATAAATTCTAACGAATTTAATCCAATTCCCTCGATCAAATATCAATCATGTTCTTTGGAAATAGGGCCGGGTATTGTGTTTTAATTCGTTTTTAAACATACAGCTTTTTTACTTGTAACTCTAAAGCTCTACAAGAATCTGAGGTTTTCTGGGTTCTATAAATCTGGAATGGGAAGACGACATTTCAGCAATCATTTAATGTTGTTGGAAAGCAAATAGTACTATAACAAGGCTGTTAAAAATTAGCCTGTTCAAGAAAATGGGTCTGTGTACGCTGCACACTTCCTAATCCATAGGTTTATAGGTCCCACTGTTTATTAAAATCGTATTCTCAATAGGTTTACTTTACCTACATTGTGTGCAACATTTATTCAGATATATAAATATTATCCAAAACATGTCATCGAAACATTTTTATTTTTCGTTGAAAATATTGTGCAGATACCTTTAATGAACCTAGAAGCTTGAAATATGATCAAATCCAAAATTATTGAAGGTACTTAGAGATAATGTCAAGGGTGGCATTATAAAGAATGCATGAGCTATTCATCATTTACTGTTTGAAGAATTAAATATTTTTGATTGTGCGTTCCCCTTAAAGAAAAAAAACAACAATATCTTTTCAATTTTAAACTAAATAAAGTTTTCAAGGGTATCGTTGTGAATAGTACATTCTAGTTAAATGTGAGAGAAATTATGCGTTCAGTCCTTTAAAAGTAAAAACATTCTTGAATATTTAAAAACGGCGCACAGTGCACACCTTTATTCAGAATTTGAATAAAGTTAGATCAGGGTTTGAAAACGGATTTCAAAAGAAAATGAAATTATAATATTCAAGACATTTTATTGAAGTTCTAGGTTCTTTATATTTCTCTCCTTGTCGAATCAACTTTTGATACATGACTGTAACCAAAAAGTTAACAAATAAAAAAGTATAGAAAGTTAACGAGAATTAGTACAAAATAATGTGCGTTAATTTAACTGTGTCTGTTTTCTATTTTAAACTTTTTGACCACATGAAATGTAGATAATTTTGTTTTCTATTTTAAACCTTTTGAACACATTGACTGTAGATAATCTTGCTTTCTATTTTAAACCTTTTGAACACATTGACTGTAGATAATTTTGCTTTCTATTTTAAACCTTTTGAACACATTGACTGTAGATAATCTTGCTTTCTATTTTAAACCTTTTGAACACATTAACTGTAGATTATTTTGTTTTCTATTTTAGACTTTTTGAACACATTAAATGTAGATAATTTTGCTTTCTATTTTAAACCTTTTGAACACAATAACTGTAGATAATTTTTCTTTCTATTTTAAAATTTTTGAACAAATTAACTGTAGATTATTTTGCTTTCTATTTTAAACTTTTGAGCAAATTAACTGAAGATTATTTTGCTTCCTATTTTAAAGACTAACTGAATGTTGGACTCTTATTTTTCATTTTTTATTTGTTTTTTTTTGGATAAATAAATTACATATGACTCTTAATGTCCACGAAAGAAAGGATAAACTGTTTTCAAGGTTTGAGTTTTCCAAATAAAAAACACAGAGGAGGGAATAAATTTAAATTTAAAAAAAATTTACATTTTTTGCTTCATTTGTCATATGACGCCCACTAAAGATTGCATCTTCGTTTCGTGTTTGTGAATTGTCGCGCATATTTTCAAAACTACAATTTCAACCTTTTATCAGCTTGTAATATTTATCTGGAAATCAGTGAATCACAAATATATCAAATCAATGCATAGACCGTCATGACTTTTTTGATAATTCTAAAGAAACTTATTTATATTTTTAGTTAAAGGTAAATTAATAGCGCTGAAATATGAATGCAATTGATATATTAATATTAAACTCATTTTTCCGCGGCATTTGATCTTAAATATGTAATACGACATTATACAAAACTCTTGCATGTATTCATGTATATGGGATTCACTGTAAAGTGGCAGGCGATTTTACAAATATAATGAAGACGACTTTTGATTTCAATTTTGATTTATTTCAAGCTTTAAAAGAGTATGAGAGTACGGATAAATAAAAACATGGAAACAAAGAGAAGCTAAGTTTCTCTTTAATTACTTGTAAACCTCGTCTTCATTATATTGCTATAATATACCGTATAGAATATAAATAAGTAAAAAAAGTAATAAAGAAAAATAAAAGATTTATGTAATTTCCAATAACTCTTTAAATAATTCTGTATTTAATCATCTTTTGTTGCCAAAATAAGTTTAAATTAGATTTATTTTAAATGTTAGACGAAATAAAAGGTCATTGTTTCGAATGTCACTCCTAACATTAAACCAGGTTGATCTTTTAACTGACAAGAGAAACAGCGAATAAAAATTATTTAAAAGAGAAACTTTACGTTTGCCTGAAAGGGCCAATAACCGTAAGTGACAAATCAATTAGACAGTAGCGTATCTGATTCACAGCGGTACCTTATATAGCTTTATATAATCAATAATATTAATGAATGAGATATCCGAACCAGACCAAGGTTCAAGCTTTAAAATATTGGAAATGGAGTGTCACTGGAAAAAACGAATATTTCCTTCATACTCTAATTGTCTGAAACCCATATATCTTTGCAACATGATGGAATGAAACAATTGATCTAGAGCAGAATTTAACTTTAAAGGAAACTTTAATGTGGGAAAAATTCTTTTTCTGACGTTTCTTGGATCGAACAAAATCAAAATCTTTATAATGCAATAATTTCCTAGATTAGAAAACTCCCATTATTATTATTTAGGTTTAATAGAGAAACAAAACATAAACTAAAGGCTTTGTTCACCAATTAGAAATTAAGCATAGCTAATACCCCAATTTTTGAATTTATGAACACTATTTTTGTGCTAAAAATATCCATCATAAATAAATATTTTTTTTTAAGTTTTTAGCTGTAGCTTAACTATGAGACTAACTCCCAAAATTGGGGTTTTAGTTTTTTTTAAATATGTGAACAATTCCTTTCACTTTGCCAACGTGGGAAAAAATAGAGATTGCTGAAAAATCACGTTAATCATCCCGTAATCAGATTTTTTCCAGCTTCTTATTATTTGTGGAGATTTTGATTATTCTTAAAATTTATATCTTTAGATAAACTTTTCCTTGTTATACCACCAGGAGATAGTTGCGTTAGGTATACTGGTTGCTGAAATAATAATATTAGAAATACTCTCTTAAATTTTTGTTTTTTAATAGATTTATTAAAAACAGATTTTACCTAAGCATGTTAAGTTCACTTCTTTTTGATCCCAGGACCATTCCTAAAATATTTAAGATTTAAAAATACATTTACGTTTATTGGAAACAATTAAACAAACAAAGTATAGATATCCAAAAAACAAAACTCGACTTAAACTCGACTTACTTAAACTAAACTTAAACTCAATTTCAGCTAGAGGTTTTAACTCCAAAAAGTCGACTTATAAATGGAAAAATGGATTTGTTGTGAAGGGGCGTAAATAAGGATTCTGCGCGCCGAAATTCTGCCCATTTAAATTATTTTCGTGCAAATTTCAATTTTAAAATCAAGTTTTTAAATTCTAGGGGGGGGGAGTAATTACCCAAAGGATTAAGGGGGGGGGGTAAATAACCCCAATAACCCCCCTTATTTACGCCACTATTGTTGTGTAATGTGTGTAAGTGTACAAAATCTGTAGTTTTCAAAAACCGTGGCAACAATACGCGTACTGCGTACTGCGTACTGCGTAGTGTATGAATATATTATATGCATATTCGTTCTAAACAGAATATTTAGAAAAATGTTTCTCTGAAAAGTGTTCAAGGTAATTTATTCTTTTATACTTTGAAAATATTATTTTCTGGAGAAGCAATATATTTTCGTGTATACAGAATCTTTATCCTTGCCAAAATTTTAGGAATGGTCACGGATTCAAAAACCGAATATTCTAATAGTTTTAAAGTTTTTAACCGAAAAAAACGTTAGACAGTTTAAAACAAAAGAAAGAAACACTCTTTAACTCCTTTTCATTTCAAACGAAAACAGAAAAAATGTTCATTTCATTTATTCTTATAATAGCTTTAGTTATTTTGATATTTACACCCCCCCC